TTCTTCTTTCCAAAAACCTTCTGTCCCTTACCCGTAACAGAAAGTCCCGATGCCTGATTTTCTGTTGCTGAATTTGTTGCCTGTTGACGATCTTCTCTCATGTGGAGAGCAGATCGAACATCTTCCAGAGACAGAGTTTCTTTACCAGCAAGAAACGAATCAACAAAATTCTCATACGATTCAGGCAAAGAAACTAGCAGAATTAAAGCAGCATCCTCATCATCTATTTTAACATCAATGTTGCGAAGGTCAAGCAAAATTTTACTTAACTTTTCCAGATGATCCCGAAGGGGTGTACCTTCCTGCATGCGTAGTCGAAACAGACGTTGCTTCAAGAGCAACTTATTGGTCAGAGACTTCGTCATGTACAAGCTCTCCAACTTCATCCAGAGGGCAGCAGCGGTCTCCTGATCAGCGACTTCGATGATAACATCGTCCGACAGGCACAACATGATTGTCGAGTGGGCCTTTTCTTCTAGGGTTTTCCACTCTTCATCATCGTTTGCCTTATTCACCTTTTCAATCAGCGGCGCCCACAATCCCTGCTGCTTCAGCAACGATCGCATCTTGATCTGCCACAAGCCAAAACTATTTCTCCCGTTGAATTTATCAATCTTCACGTTCAGAGCAGATGACATCTTCGATCCACTCAAGAAACCCTAACAGTGCGGAATTCAGAAAATCCCTAATCGGAAGAACCAGAAGCTCTGATACCAGTTTGTTGTTACGGAATAGGGTATTGAGTAATCAAAGAACAAACAGAAAAACACAATAACAGATTTAACGTGGTTCACCAACGTTGTGTTGGCTAGTCCACGGGGAAGAGGGGGAGCAGTTTTATTTCTGAAGGAGAGGCAAAACAGAGTACAGCTCATAGGGTTTGTGGTAGCACCCATATAAATAGTGCTTCACTAAACCCTAACATACTTGGGCCCAAAACTACATAATTAACAGATAATTAGAAGCCCAATTAACTTCTCCGGATTCTGACTCCTCCGGATTCTGACTCCTCCGAACTCTGACTTCTCCGAAAACGAACTTCTCAGAAAACGGACTTCTCCGGATTCGGAGCTGTGATGGGTCAGATTCAAGGCATTTTAACATATACTATTTGGGCTGCAAAGTTTGATATTCAGTTTATTTGTATATTGTACTTTTGCTCTACTCTGAAAAAAATATATTTTTAAATGAGTCGCGATATAGAAATTGTAATTTGACATTCATAGAGTCTTTGTCATTTTCAAATGTCCACAAAAATCTTATTCGGAGCGTTGGCCGGAAAACGCTCCGACCCGCCGGCGGGTCGGAGCGTTTTCCGGCGAAATTGACGGCGGGCACCAACTCCAATGCGGTAGTGGCATCCGGGCGACCTCCAAGGACCCATCAATTGCAAGATTTGATGAAGATTTGCAAAACCCCCAATTTTGGATCCAATTTCGAATTTTAGGGTTTTTTCGAGTAGAAAAATTCAGATTCGAGAAGTTACAGACCAAATTAGACAAAATGGTTTGGATATTATTGATCCTCGTCTCAAGACGAAGAGAATGACATTGGTCCCGCCGGAATCGGAAAAAGTTCATTTTCCGGCGACTTTGACCGGCGGGCGAGGGGGCGTGGAAGAAAAGAAAAGAAGAAATTGGGTCAAATTAAAAATTTTAAAATATATAAAATTCGAATTTGGCCCTAATGACCGAAAGTTAACCTAGAAACGGGCTAATGGCTCATTAGTGAAAGGATTGTGTAAGTTCAGGGATTTTTGTGAAAGGATTTGAAGTTCAGGTACCACTTCGAAATTCCAGCTAAAGTTCAGGTACCATTTGTGAAATTTACCCAAGTTTATGCAATCTGCTTTTCCCCCTCATTTCCTCCTATTTTTCTATTATCTAATTCACCATTAAATTCAATTTCAAACCATATTTATAATCGCACATAACCTAGTTTTTTGACAAAGAAGGCAAAAAAAATCAATCCAAAAATAAAAAAATTTGCGTGGTGACAGAGGATTGATGAAGTAAGAAGATTGAAGAATTACTTGATAAGATGATGATTGATGAAGTATGAAGACTGAAGATGGAAGTTGGAACCAGAGGAGGCAGAATCGCAGGAGTTACGCAGCAGAAGTGAAGTCCAAGAGTCAGAATCGCAAGAATAAACGCAAGTGGAGGCTGTGGAGCAAATTTGCTTAAGGAAGGTTTATTTACATCAATTTTGATTTTGGACTGGGCTTTATTGGTTAAATTTGGATTGGGCTGTTATTATTTTTAAAATTGTGGGACTTGGGCTGAGTGTGAGGTGGGGGCAATAATAAAATTTCAGAATTTTAGTGGGGTAGCCCTTAAATAATTTCTAAAAATAAAAAAAGTACTTAAAATTTAGATTTGACTGGGGGCAGCAGCCCCCCCTAAACATAGCATGGATCCGCCAGTGTGCACAAGCCGAAATATAAAGGAAGTCGTATATTAAATACAGAGTACTCCCTCCGTTTGGAAAAACCCTTCCCATTTGATTTGGGGGTAAAAATAAGGAAGTGTTAAATTATAGTTGATTTCCAATTTTGCCCCTGATGTGATGGGTAAAAGTAAGATGTGATAGATAGATTATTAGAGAAAAAGTATGATGTGATAGGTAGGGTATGAAAAAGTAAGGGTAAAAGTGGTTTTTTAATAGAAAGGGGAAGTGTTTTGTTGGAAGTGGAAAAAATGAAAGAGGAAGTGTTTTTGAGAACGGAGGAAGTAAAAAATACCANTTCCCATTTGATTTGGGGGTAAAAATAAGGAAGTGTTAAATTATAGTTGATTTCCAATTTTGCCCCTGATGTGATGGGTAAAAGTAAGATGTGATAGATAGATTATTAGAGAAAAAGTATGATGTGATAGGTAGGGTATGAAAAAGTAAGGGTAAAAGTGGTTTTTTAATAGAAAGGGGAAGTGTTTTGTTGGAAGTGGAAAAAATGAAAGAGGAAGTGTTTTTGAGAACGGAGGAAGTAAAAAATACCACAATCAAATATATACATACATATAACATGCTTTTTTCTCTTTTTACATTGTTACCAATCAACTATTATTAACTTTGATCTTTTTATTTTGTTTATATTCAAGAGGTTCATTTTATAAAATAAAAATGCCAAAGAAGACATTAACATGAAATACATGGCTTTTAACATCCTGAAACTCGACTTAGTAGTAAATAATTATTTTGATAAAATTAAATACTACCTCCGTCCTATTTTATAACGTCTGCTTCGGTTTACGATATTTGACTGATATTATTTTAAAATCATTTTATATGACAAATGATATATAATTAAAAAACAAAAATTACATAATAAAATGTTATATCAAAAGATCTACAAAATTAGTAGTGACAATAGTACTTTATCTTATCAATTTGCTAACGAAAATTAAGAAAGTAAGTAAATGAAGTTTGACTCTGTGAATAGTGAACATGCATTATAATTTGGGACAGAGAGAGTATAATCTTTTCTGACTTGAAAATATAAACTATTTGTAAAGGTTATCTTTTTAAAAAAAATTGTTAATTGGGTAGATCTCGTAAAATGGTGACCAACGGTATATATTTTATTAAGTTTGAATTTACGTGTAAAATGTTATTAATAAAATAGACATTACAGTTCAATAAATAAATATAAAGATTTTATAATAGTAAATAATAATAACCTAATCTAATCCAAAGCCTACCCATAACGCAAGAAGGAAACTAAAATCCTTCCTACTTAAATACACTAGTATTCTGACATGTGCCATGCACGAGGTCGAACGAATATTTTTGTTATTCTATACTATTTTTTTCAATGCTACTGATTAAGAAATTCAAAAAATCTAAAAGTGCCACCAAAACTTAAACAAAGGATATAATAAATAACCAAAGCCGCAGGAGCTTTTCGAAGAAGCTAGAACTTGTGCACACCACTGAACCTCGTGGCTCCTTGTTCCTCCTCGTTGGCTCCTCGACGACACTGTGACCGACGCTGTTGTTGACGTCATCTCCGTTGTTTAATTGTTTAATTTGTTAATTCGTCAAATAATCGGGTGAGTTCGTGGGTTTGTTCTAGTGTAGAAATCATAGATAATGTTAGTTTGTATGCATAGCCAAACGTAGATTTGTATTAAGTGAAATTTGTTTGTTGTTGTTTGATTATGATCCAATTAAATATAATTTATTGAAATTGGTGGATCGATGAAAGACCAAGTATGTTCTACTACTCAAGTTTATGTGGATTATATGCTCATAGCCTCTTTAAAGATATAAATTGATATTTTATATGCCTGCAACTGATCCCTGAGGTTAATCTTCAGTAACCAACCAGATGGTAGCTTGGTACCATCAAACGGTACCCTTCTACGGTCATAGAAGGAAACCCTCTGTCGGACCCTACAAACGGTTCATACTTTCCTACCGGACGGACGGTACCCCTACTGCCCATATGGTAACTGGATACCGTCACAAACTAATCTCTACTGGTGCTCGCTGCCTTGCCGATAACAAGGTGTCGGACCAATGATATCGAACTATCATGTTTGGTGCTCTGTGTGACCCCTTCCCTTGTTTATTTGTCCGACCCAAGTCACGAATTTATTCCAAGACATTTTATGTTGTATGATGGCAAGTGCAAAGTCACGTAAATTAAGTTCAATAATTTATTTAAAAATCAGGCAAGAAACCTAGCACCAAACTAGAACTCTAATTGCAACACCTTGCCCAAACCCTAGCCGCAAACCATCTAGAATTGAGGCTACAAAATTTTTTTAAAAAAGAAAGAGAAGTTGCTACCACAATTTGCCCTACACAGTTTTCCACTGTGCGGATTAAGAGAAAAGTATTAAGTGCGCCAATTTTCATATGAAATTTTGTTCAAAAATTAGGGAAGAAGTGTTAGCCCTTGTTTTGATATTAATGTTAACAACTAAGAGATATAATAATAATAATAATAATAATAATAATAATAATAATAATATCAATAATAATAATAATCAATTATTATTAACTTTGATTTGGGGCTAAGGAAACCCTCTGCCGGCATTCGATAGGCTAAGCCATGGGCACGACGGTTGTCAGGGCGATCTACATTGGCAGTCCTCGGAAGGGAGACGAAGGCACGCCGAGGAGTCGGCAACCTCGGATGCGCTCTAGGGTAGGCCCGAGCATACTGATGGACGGAGGGACGAGAGAGCCCAGCGTCACTACTGGAGCCCCACGAAGACAAAGAGGGCGAAAGGCTCGGATAATGGTATGTCCCGCCTTGAGCGGGAAGTTGCCGAGCTCAAGCGCCGAGTGGAGACCAAAATATTTGTTCTAAACAACAATGAAACTCTTATAACTATACCGAATGTTGTATATCCTGAAGTCTTTTAAAATTGAAATTAAATGACTTTCTTTAGTACACTTTTAATTTCTCAAATATTATATATTCTACTTTGGTATATTGATTAAAAATCGTATTATAAATATATTCACTTGATTCCGGAAATATTTAGTGACTACAATTACGATATGGTACATGATGCAATAAGAATATTTTATTTTATCAAAGAGAAAGAGATGAAAGAGATGAGGCTATGATGGCCCGGTGACGTCTACTGGTAAAAAGTATTAGTTAGAGGGGTTGACTTAGCTGTATTGTGCAATCTATAAATAGGCCAAGGCCTCTTCATTGTAAAGGATCTGATTTTCAAGCTAATAGTACTCCTACTTTGCACTCTCTCCCTCTAAAACTTTACATATTTAGGTTTACGTACTTTCCCGACCCAGGGTCAATATCTCCGGTGGTTTATCGCCATCAAATTGGTGCTCTCATTTAGAGAACAAAAACATACCACTCCCAACAACGAGAATGGTGCAGACAATGAGCAACGTCCATACCACCAGCCACATGACTCTCGGTGAGGAGAACAACCCGGGGAATGGTAACGGGACCAGGGCGCTCACCTCGACTCATGATGCACTCCAGGCACTTTTGGGGATGGGAGTGACTGCAGAGTAGCTCCAGGCTGCCGTTGCAGCCCACTCCGCCATTGGCGGGAGCGAGCACGGCACTGGACCTACCGAGGCCCCAGGAGACCCCATCACCGTGCACGCTGCCACTTCCTAGTTCAAATGAGAAGAAGACCCAGAGGAACCGGAGAAGGCCTGGAAAGGACCCCGTGTTTGAGGAGGTGTTGGTAGAGGACATCGTGGAAGGGGAGGATGACGACTCCAGTGAGTGCCTGGTGTCGGCCTTCAAGCGATTGGGGGCTGAGGAAACCCTCTTGCCGGCATTCAATAGGCTAAACCATGGGCACGACGGTTGTCAGGGCGATCTACGCCGGTGGTCCTCAAAAGGCAGACGTAGGCATGCCGAGGAGTCGGCAAACTCGGATGCGCTATCGGGTAGGCCCAAGCATACTGATGGACGGAGGGACAAGCGAGCCCAGCGTCACTATCAGAGCCCCACGAAGACAAAGAGGACGAAAGGCTCGGATAACAATATGTCCCGCCTTGAGCGGGAAGTTTCCGAGCTCAAGCGCCAAGTAGAGACCAAAGTATTTGTTCTAAAAGACAATGAAACCCTTACAACTATACCGAATGTTGTATATCCTGAAGTCTTTTAGAAAACTTGAAATGAAATGACTTTCTTGAGTACACTTTTAATTCCCTGGATATTATATATTCTACTCTGGCGTTGTTGTATATTGATTAAAAATTGTATTATAAATATATTTACTTGATTCCGAAAAATATATTGCATTGAAAAAATTATGAATCGGCAAAAACTGCGTTCGACCCGTGCATGGCACGGGTTAAAGTACTAGTTTTTAAAAAAATAAATACTATGAAAACTAAATACAACAATAAGAAATAAAAATTATATATTAAAAAACTACATCGAAAGTTCTATAAAACAAGAAGTCACAAAAATATTTTATTATATCAAATAATGTATGAAAACACATAAATAAACAGAAGTTATCGGATAGACGGAGTAAATGTCTACGTGGGCACAGAATTACAAGTGAGATTAGCTAAATATTATTTGATTATATGAATATGTAATATAAATTAAGAGTAATTGAAATTCAAAATTTGTTCAATTTGATTCAAGAATTTCAAATTGGACAAAAAACATTGGGATGCAGCGGCCTACGGGTAGTGCGATTTAGGGAGTGTTTTGTTCAACTTTCTTTTTCAGATTATTACTTATTCTTATTATAATCAGATCAGATCATACGAGATGAGATCAGATCATACCTAATCAGGAACAACTTTAATTATGACTACAATTAGACCAGATCAAATTAGACCAGAAGAGATGATACCTGAATAGATTTTCAAAAAATCAGATTAGATAAGACGAGCGAAACACAACCTTAGCGCAGTCTTAGGGGGTGTATTCAATCATGATTCTGACGGATTTTTTTGGATTCTTAAAATCTGTAGGTATTCAATTCAGATTTTAAAATGTCATTCAAAATCTAGATGTATTCAATTTAGATATTAAAAAATCATTCTAAATATGATGGTATTCAAATGTTGATAGATTTTCAAAGATTTTAAAAAATAAGGATTTTGATTGATTTTAAGGCCTTGGATATAAATACAAATCCATTATCAAATCTCACCTAAAAGCTAAAGATTTTGAAAACTCCTCCACCTACTCTTCTCTCCTTCATCGTCTATGTTTTCATCTACAGCTACTGCAGGGACTCCAAACTCCGTCACGAGACCTTCCTTGGCCGGAATCTGGCGAGACCTTCCTTGCTCTCAAACTCCGTCACGTCGACCGCATCTATGGCGACGTCTCCCGCCGCGCTAGCAGCTGCGGAGCTGATTTCAGCAACTCCGTCATCCTCGAGCTCTCTCAGGTGAGCGTAAAAAGAGGCACCACTTTGTTGCTGAACTCCCCAGCGGAACCATCAACAAAATCCAGGAGGAAGGGAAAGAAAGAAGAAAATAAAAAAAAAGAAGGATAGAGGTAGGCGGCTAGGGTTCTTCGGGAGGAAGAAGGAAAAAAGAAAAAGAAAAAGGGAAAAGGAAAAAAGAAAAAAGAAAAGAAAGGGAAAAATTGTTCAAAGGAAAAAGAAAAAATGTTTATTTACATAATCCATGATTGTAAACAATATGTCAAAATCACATAAAATCCTTCGAATAAAATATATTAAAATCTTTCCAACTCTAGGTATACTTAAAATAATTCATTGATTTTACTGAGTCCATGGATTCTAAAAAATCTATCAGAATCTATTAAAATCTAGATTGAATACACCCCCTTAGTCGACCAAAACTCCCAATCTGTGTCAAGGGTTGGTTTATTACACAAGACACAAATTTTTATATAATGTAATATTATATATTAACTCTAACTATAATAGGCAACAACCATAATTATAATTTATAATATTAAATATATTAAATAATTGATATATTTAGCACTATATCAAAAGTTATACAAAATAAGAAGTCACAATAATATTTTTAGCCATCTTCTAAAATCAGAAATTTTTAGTAACAAATTTATAGAGTAATGAGAAATAAAAATTACATATTAAAAATCTATATCAAAAGTTATACAGAGTAGAGAATAAGATGTAACAAAAGTATTTTTAGCCATATTTCAAAAGTAGAATTTACCTAAACAACACTAAAATATACTCCCTCTGTGCACAAATAAATTTTACGTTCACTATTCACATGGTCAAACTTTATTCACTTTATTGACATATTTTCGTCACTCATTTGATAAAATAATATAGTCATGTCAACTCTAGTTTTGTAGATCTTTTGATATAGTTTTTTAATATGTAATTTTTTTTATCCTACACCATTTTTCATATAAAATGATTTGAAAATAACTACGGTCAAATATCGTAATGCGTAATGTAAAGTTTATTTGTTGATAGAGGGAGTAATGACTTTCCCTAAATAGCATCACATGTGTTTTTGTCCGAATGTAACACTTTTAGTCATTATGCATTAGTCATTATACAAGTAAATATTTGTCATTAGTGGATATTATTAAGTGATACTCCCTCCGTCCGGAAATATTCTTCCCATTTTCCTTTTTGGCCCGTCCGGAAATAATCTTCCCATTTCCTTTCTTAGTATGCTTTTTAAGGCTAAATATCAATAATACCCTTCTATTTTATCACAAATCTATTTTTTTAATACTTTTTAATAATAAAATGAGATTTAAAAGTTTATAGTATGTGCATTTTTAAAAATTTTGCATTTATTTACTATTCCTTAAAAAGCGTGCCAAGTCAACACAGGAAGAACATTTCCGGACGGAGGGAGTATTTAGAGAATAAAATAATTTAGATGCTATTTAAAGAATTGACATAAGTTTTAGTGCTATTTTGTACGAAGTACAAAATATTTTATTCCAAAATTAGTACGGAGTAAATTTTATGGAGGATTGCAATTTAGGTGAGTGGTCACTCCTGCGGTGCTGCCCCATCTACAGTAGGTGCAAGTGGGATTAAGATGTGAGTTGTCAGTCTGTCCATTCAAAAACAGAGTTTTCCTTTCTTTTTTAACTTTCTACCTAGGGATATGCTAGGGGTACACCTTTGGTGTACCCAAATGTACATCACCCTCCCTCTCTACCATTCATTTTATTTTATTTTTAATTTTTACTTTTTTTTGAATTTTTTTGCCATTTTTGTGTGGTGATGGAGGGAGTGGAGGATGTTTGGGGTACACTTTTGGTGTACCCCTAGCATTTTCCTTCTACCTATGGTAAGGGTTGTTGGCCCTCCCTAATACTACCTCCATCCCTTGTATTTGTCCACTTTCATTTCTGCACACCATCCAATGTTCTTTTTTAATCCATTTTATCTTGTAATTTGTATATTAAAAAATTATAGAAATTATATATTAATAATCTATATGTTAAAACAAATCAAACAAGATCACACATGACTATATTTAGGCTTACACATTGAGAGATTTTGATGAGTCAAAGTGTTTAGATGAACATTTCCAAAAGTCAAATGTGAACAAATACAGGACGGAGGGAGTAGTCGATATTTACGGAGGAATTTGTGGAGCATGATTCTCTACGGTTTTCACTGTAACCGTCACTCCAAAAATTATTCGAAATTACCTCTTTCGTCTCAATTTGTTTGTTGAATTTGTGAAGTATTATTTTTCTGTAAATTTATTTTATTTAGAAATTGGTAGAGAAATAAAAACTAGAATTACACCGTTTAAAAATATATCAAAATTTTTATAAAATAAGAAGCGACGAAAATATTTTATTTTTTTAAATACTCAATCAAAACGAGTAAACAAACAAAAATTTTTGAAATGTCAAATTAGTAACTACCATATTCTTCTCGGAAGGGAGAGACTATGTGTAAGAAGGCCCGTTCTAAACTTTTCTTCCCACTTCCTAATTTTCTCCGTCCTAAAACTACTTTTCCATTAGAAAAAAATGACAAATGACATTAATACACTCATGTATTTACACTAATTATCTTCTAACTCTATATTTTGAATGATTGCAAAAAAAATTCAAAAAATCTTTTTTAATGAGAGTAAAATTTGAAGTCAAAGCCAAAAATTAAAAACGGGGAAAAGTTAAACAGGGAAGAAAGAATTAGGACGGAGGGAGTAAAAATTACTCCCTTAGTCTTTCATAAATTTTCAATTTGAATATGATCATAGTTTTGAAAAAAAACATTTTAAAAACTTGAAGATTAATTTTTTAAAAAAGAAGAGAGAGAGAGATTTGTGTTTCTGTTTTTTATTTTAAAAAAAGAGAATCAATTTAAATAGAGGAAAATTAACTTTAGTATTACTCGTCTCAAATAATGCTAAAGCAACAAACAACTTGAACACAAATTATGCAAATTTGCTATTTCTATACTTTTTCAAGCGAGTAAAAATGTTTTAAATAATTTAAAAATAAAAATTTATGTACACACAAATGATAAATTAATATCAAATTATTTGTGACTCTAGCATTACAAAATGCCCCAACATTAGGAATCGTTCGAGTTCCCTCATTATTCACGGAGTATTAAAAAGAGGGAGAGAATAGAGATGTGAATACGTCCTAATGCTTATTTAAATTTCGTTTTGAATTTTTTGCACTCATAACAATTAACTTTTGACGATATTTAAAAAATATGCACTTCATCCATCCTTAAATGTATCTCACATTTCTGTTACAGAGGTAAAATATTAAGTTCTTTCAATTTATTTAATTGGTTCAAGAATGTCAAATTTGTCTAAATAAAAATAATTAAAATTCGAAATTTGTCCAATTTAAAGTCGACCCAAAAAAACTAAGGGGCTGTTTGGCAACTTCTGAATAGATAAGTGCTGAACCAGTAAGATGTCTGAACCATTAAGTGCTGAACTAGTAAGAGGTCTGAACCATTAAGAACTAGTATATTGCTTAACTATTCAGAGACAAATGTCTGATCAATTCAGATAAGAGCTCTTAACCATTCAGACTCTGTATAATACTTAATCATTCAAAGGCAAATCTCTTAACCATTCAGACATCTGAACCATTAAGAGGCTGAAACAAACAGTCTGAACCATTAAGTGCTGAATCATTCAGACATCTGAACCATTAAGAGGCTGAAATAAACAGCCCCTAAGTATTAAAAAATAAAAAGTACGTATATTACATATAGAGCGGTGACATGTTAAAAAAATAAAAAGTATTAAAACTACATAAAATAATAAAAAATAAAAACTATATATTGAAAAATTATATCGAAAGTCCTTCAAAACAAGAGCTATAACAATATTTTATTTTATATGAAAAAACATAAATAAACAAAAGTTATTAGGTAAACGGAGTAAAATGTCTATGTGGGGACAGAATTAAAAGTGATCAAGGGCAGAGAATAACATTGTAAAAAAATTGGGACGGATGGAGGAAGCGAGGTTAAGTTTGCGTATTGGAAAACGCCAAATTGTTCTCGTACGTTTAATAAAACCAAATCGCTTCCTCGTTTGACTCTGGGATGAAAAACAGAAGAAACAAAGAGATTCATGATAAAAATAAAATAAGAGAAAAACTTGAAGATTAATTTTTTAAAAAAATAAGAGAGAGATTTGTGTTTGGGTTTTTTATTTTAAAAAAAGAGGATGAAATTAAATAGAAGAATTTGTTAAAGATTTAAGAGCATTAGAGCATCTCCAACCATGCTTGTTATATAAATTTGCTATTTTTACATTATAGCAAGTGAATAGTGATATAACAAGCATTTTTTTGCTTCATTCTCTAACCATAATTTGCTATTTTATTTTTTTAAGTATTGACTTGCTAAAGTTTTAAGGATTTGTCATATTTAACAAGCCAAAGTCATTTTTTAGCAAACTTGCTAAAATAAAGCACACTCCTTGGAGAAGAACAAAAATGTTTAGCTAGCTATATTATAACTTTTAGCAAATTAAAATGTTATGGTTGAAGATGCTCTTATAGCCATTGAAAAATGCCCCCACGTTAGGAGTGGTTCGAGTTCCCTCATTATTCACGTATTGGTAGTTGCACTATTATCACGGAGTTACTGAGTACTCGGAAACGTAAATTCTAATGCTTATTTAAATTTCCTTTTGAATTTTTTGCACTCATAGCAATTACTTTTGACGATATTTAAAAAATATATACTCTGTCTCTTAAATATATCTCACATTTCTGTTACTGAGATAAAATATTGACTTTTTTCAATTTATTGAATTTACTTATTTATATAAAAATAAAAAATAAAAATTAGATGTCAAAACACTACACGAAAAGTTCTTCAAAATGAAATGTGTCAAGAATATTTTATTTTATCAAATAATCAATGAAAACAAAGAAATAAACATAAGTTTCCGTGACTGCTAAAAAGCAAATGTGTAATATATTTATGGACGTGAGGAGTACATTTTATTTAAAAACTAGTTTTATTAGATTTATCATGTGAAATGCTTTTGTTAAATACTCCGTAATATTTTATACAATTAGTAGCCCATGTAATGGTTTATTTTATTATAGATCAAAAATCTAGCATGACTGATTTCAAAACTTATAAATGTAAAAATATTTTTACTTTCTACCTATGGTTGGGTTGTTGGCCCTACTTGGTCGATATTTATGGAAATATATTTAGAGACCAAAGGAGTAAATTTTATTCAAAGTGTGTATTATAGACTGTGAAAAAATCAAAATAGAAATTTGTCCCCCTGTATTTGTCTATATTTGACTTTTGGAACTGAGTATTTACTTTTTTTGAAATATCAATTATAAATAGGGAAAATAGCATGGGTGCCTCCCGTGGTTTACAAAAGGGGCACCAAAACCCCCTCTAGTATCAAAAGTCGCTTGTAAATAGACATTTCTAAATAGTGCACAGACACCCCCTCTTGTCTATTTTAGACATGAAATGACATTTCTGCCCTTGGTTTTTCTCTATATTTTTTGTTATCTAAATAAATAAAATAAAATATACGCCCTCCTTCTCAAATTCAAAATTTTCATTTATTTAATTTTCAAAGAAAATATTTTTTTTAGAAAATGTTACAAAAATGAAATAAATACACTTTTTCATTATAACTCAAAATAAAATAAATAAAATAAAAAAAATTAGATAACATATACTCACTCTATCTATAATTAAAAATTCTGAGTAAAATAATTTTTTATTTCTTTTCATTACTTTTTTTAACTATTACGGAGTAAGGAGTATTACTTTACTTTGTACATAATATTTTATTTTTTATTTTCTTTTGTAACATCCTTCAAAAAAATCTTTTGTTTTCAAAAGTAAATTATGAAAAATTCTAATTTGAGATGGGAAGCATATATTTTATTTTATATATTTGTATAATAAAAGAAATTGAAATTAGAAAAATTCAAGATCGGGAAAAACAAATGGCATAAATGTTACTACCTCCGTCCCAAATTATTTGCCACATTTGTATTTCCGAGGCAAAATATTAAGTTTTTTCAATTCATTTTATTTATATACTCCCTCCGTCCAAGAATAATCTTCCTATTCTACCTTTTTTCCCGTCCAAAAAAAATCTTCCTATTCTACCTTTTCATCCCAATTCTTCCTAAACTACCCTTCTTGTTAAATCTCTTTTTCTTTTTTTGCTTTCTCTCCCCTTTTTCTAGACCAAAGCCCATATCTCTATCTCACTACCCCAACTCCCCTCTTCTTCTCCTCCTTCTCTGCCGATTTTCTTCTCCTCTGCCGATTCTTCTCCTCCTCCTCTTCGATTCTTCTTCTTCTTCACTTCTTTTTCTTTTTTTTCTCATCCTCATCTTCTTTCTCCCCCCACCCCCCTTTCTTTTCATATGCCTTCTTTTCTTTCTCCCCCTTCTTCTTCTTCTTTTTCTTTTATATCTGTGCTAGATCTATGGGGATGAGGTGACAGTGAATGGACTACATGGCGATGATAGACTAAACATCGGTGGTGGGAGCTGAGTTGGCGGTGGATCTATGGTAAATCTGTGCTTAAT